AATAAAAAGTTAAAATGGGCATTTTCTTTGTTTTTCTTTGTTGATTGAGCTGATTGAATTGTGTAGTTATGGTAAAATCCCAGTTAACTAGTCAAATTTAAAATATATTATCGTATTATTTACATTTGTATATTTACAGTCAATTACTGGCTACTGTTTTGCATTACTTCTACAGTAATAGTCTGAAAATACAGGTAATTACTGTAATCTATGTACAGCAAGGTACCATAATACCACAGCTCTGTACTGCTATATCACAGTAATTCCATGGGCATGGCAACTGTAAAGTCACAGTATTTAGTTGTACTTTTACTCTAATTTACTGTAAAATATCTACAGTAAATTACTGTGAAATATTTACAGTCAATTACTGGGAAATATTTACAGTCAATTACTGTGAAATACATGCAACTAGTAGCCAGTCATTTACTGTAATTTTACAGCCAAACATTTTACAGTGAGGGGTTGCTTCTTCTCTGAACGTCTATGTATACTGCACCCCTCCATATCAAATAAACCATAAACAAATAGGCCTACATAAAGTCTTGTTCAATGCAGCGATCTATTTCACATACAAAACTATAGGAAAACTTGGTGATATACAGTGGCGTTTTCTCCTGGAGACCAAGGGAAGACAGGCATCTCCTGTTTTTTCAGCCTTTGTTATCATTTTGACAATTACAAATATATATTCTTGTCTGTGGTTGTTTTGGCGTTCAGGGCATAAAAAGGTGTAACATTATTTGAATACCAAAACTATATTGAAATAGAGTCTAGCTTGAACAGCATGTGACTTCTGAAAGAGTGTGTCCCACACAGTACAATGTACCGTTTTTGTTGTACAGATGAAACAAAGACTTGATTTAATAAATCATTTATCCCTTCATAATTAATGACACATAGTATTGTGTGTTTCACATTGTTTCTTATGGTGTTCCAGCTGTGACAGATCTCTATTCTTGATATGAACGAGAACGAACCTGGAGAAAGAGTTTTGTTTGTGTAGGTCTTGTGTTTTTGCGTTATTGCAGATGAACGAGTGAATCTATACAAAGTGGTGTTTCTGTTTTCAATGGATTTTACACTGCAGCAATATCAGTTTCGCAGTGGATTCTGTCACAAGGTCAGTGTGTTGTCCTGTCTCCATGATAAGCGATTTTACTGTCAGTGATCAAACTAAAAGATGATAAACGTGTGGCTGCTGTCTTAATGAGGCGTTGTTTGGGAGGTCAAAGATGAGCAATGCATTTGTTTGCTGAACGTTTCTGCAATTCGCCGTGTATTTTCTTGTATTTGGCAAAGTGGCTCTAAATAAAATCAAACACAGAAAGTTGTTTGGCCAAATTGTCTTTATTAAGTCATGGAGGTGACCACAGGAAAAATAAGAATATTTCAAGAGTGATAAATAAACAAAATAATTTAATGGCCGAAATTCATCTTTTGAATTTGACTCTTATCTAGCCTTTGCATGTAAAAAAGAAAAGAAAAAAAAGAACTGGAGAACATAGACTAACTTCCAAAAAGGCTCATGAAACAGTAAATGAAGTACATTTGGCTTAAGCTCAGCTCTGAAACACAGGCTACAACTAGTCAATAAATACTGAAGAAACACAAACTGGAAAGACATTCAATCAGTGTAAAAGGCTTTAGAAAATCAACAGGGCGGTCAATAGCTGTTATTTACAACAAACAGTCAATCCTGTTAAGAGACAAGTATCACAAACTATCTACACACCTGCTCAAGGAGACTGAACTCCAGGGACAAAAAAACTATATACAGTCAGGGAGTGTTAATTTGACCCTCCATTTCAAATTCATAAACAATATAGGCTATTTGGAGGTGAGCAGATATAAAGGAGTTGTCAGAGTTTATTAATGTCCAGATTAGAAACTCTCCACTGGTGTATAAACAAATATAATATGAAACCAGGGATTTATAAAAATTATTTATTTATAAATATTAACTGTATTATTTATCTGCTTTACAAGTGAGTTTTTTTTTACTATAAATTAACACTTTTTAATATTAATAATAGTTTATATTTAATTAATGATGAACTCAGTTTATTCACCAGTCAGGATTGCTTTCTTAAACATTAATTAACACGTCCTAAACGCTGCTGTGTCACTGTGTGTTATAAGCCATTTATTAAGGGTTTATATACTGTGTATGCATGCTAAAAAAGACGGTTGTATAAATATCAAATTAACACGTGAGGAATTATGGCCAGTGAAATAGTATTATTACCAGCGACCTAATGAACCCAGCTGAAAGCCTGTGATTAGAACGTTATCAAACCTGGAAATAGAAATATAGGCAATATTGACAGAAAACAGGCTACATAAAATAAAATATCAATAAACTTGTTTGCAACAGCTTAAACACTTTCATTGTTACATATCCACTGTGGTCTCTCACTCCTGCAAGACCTCATAAACATAAAAAGAAAAATGACATGTCCAGTGTTGTCAACAAAAACACACAAAAAGCAGGTGGAATGTTGTGCTACTGTGTCAGAAAATAACAATAGCCAAAAAATGAATAATAACAACCGGGGCCCCAGGATATATAACTGCTTCGTGAGTTTGCTCGTACCATTTATGGCTGATATTATAGGCATAGTGAGGATGTTTTGAGGGGGAGTTGTATGAGGTGCATATCCAGTCAGTGTCTTAGCTTCAGTTTGGAGAAACAGACGTGAGCAGCATGAGGACGCTAATGTACTGCTGTGGATAGGGGCAGCCTACTTAACACACATCTCTTTTAAATGCTAAATGTTTTATATTTTCATCAATTTATCTTACAGTCCTAGCTAATGCTACCAGACTCAATTGACAGAAACAGTCATTTAACTTTGCACAACACATGACTCCCCAGCTGGAATACATTATTCCCCAGCACTATATTGCTTTATTTCTGTGCAGTTACTCCAGTCTGTTTCTCCTAACTGGGGGCATCATCCACTGACTGTGGAGACGTACCCCATATAACCCCCCCTCTAACAGCCACAGCTCTCCCTTAACAACATGTGTCCTCCTGGATGTTTCTGGGCGGGCGTCCCTCCATCCGCTTGAGTCTGTCCAGCTGCTGCGTGGTGCAGACACACCTCAGACCAGCTTCTTGGCCTCAAAGAAGCTCTTGAGGTGCTTCATCTGCCAGATGCCGGTGACGATGAGGATGAGGGTCTGAGCGATGGACCACCACAGGACGCGCTGGTTGGTGCTCTCACTGGTCATGCGGAAGCGCTCCTCTCGATACTGCAGGAGACACCACACACAGTATGAGAGGGGCAGTGATGAGGGATTATTGTGGGCGGAACCAGTAGAGGGTTCCCTCTACTAAAAATAACGACAGCTTTCCATTGGATTTCAGAATTTTGTAGAAATGAAGATGTTACAAACACATGATGATGCCAACATGTTTTGTTCAACAGGATGATTTTTTAAGCTTAAAAGCGCTCGCCAGAAGTAAAAAGCTAACGTTAAGCTATGAAGGAACTACATCATGGTCACAATACTCCACGTCAAGAACGCTAAGCTAAAAGCTGCTAATGTCCGTGTGACGATGTTCAGTAGTCTCATTTAGTATCTCTAACACTTGTTAGCAACCGACGACACACAGACGCTTCAGATACTCACCAGTAGTGTAATAACTTGGAGATTTTATGTTGTAGAATATAACAACCACAGATCTTATTTTGAGCGTCAAACCAAAAACATAAATATATATATATATTGTGTACTTAATGAAGTGGTGTACCTAATAAAGTGGCCAGTGAGTGTATATTATAGAACAGCTGACTTTGAGATTAAGGAACCAGAAGTGGTAGAAAGTCATTTCCAAGTTTTAAGACTAATTTCTGTACCACTCTTGACCTCATCAACCTAGTAGATCACATTACTCTGAGTATTTTGTTACTGACCCTCTGGTAGTTTTGCTCCTTTTGGATCTGCTCCACCTGGTCCAGCAGCTGTCGGGCTCTCAGCTGCAGCTCCGTCAGTTTGTCCTTCGCTGCGATCTCAGGGTAGTTGTTGGTGTGTTCTCCCACCTGAATATCCAGATGCACCCTCTGCGACATAGGAAATACACCATTCAGATCGATATGCTTGTTTTCGTGAGAATTATAAGAAATATAAAAACTCAAGTTTCATCATCAGACGCATTTTGCATCATGAGAACTAAAAATAACTCAAAATTCAGAAAACTCCTCCAAGATCACTGATGATTAAAGGCTTACAATGGCAAAACCAAAACAAGAGGATGAGTAGGAAACTATTGAAACTCAATCAATCAAAAGTTAACAAAAAAAAATAGGAAATATTGATAGTAAAGATTAAAGATTAAATGGAAATTCCTGAGCACATGTGGCTTAAAAGTCTAACTATTGTTCTTTTAGCTTCTCACTGAGCTGGAGATTTTGTGGGAAAAATTAGAATGGATTTTAATAACTGCTATACAAAAATCACAATGAACTGGGACCTGAAATAAATAATAGTTATTGTTCATTACAGTTTCTGAATATTTGTTTTATATTTTTGGATATTTCTGGGTGTTGCCATCTGTATGTGGCGGCCCTCCATTTTTTTACGCTACTTACGTTGCTATGGTTACGGTGGCGATGCATACGCGTTATTTGAAATGTTCATATTGATATATTTTTAACTCTGGCTTTGTAATAAAAAATATGGCAAAACGAAAACAGCCAAGCGTCACAGCTTTTGGATTCACAAGCAAAGAAGCGAAGGAGTCTAAAAATGACAACGTGAACGGAAAACAACTTTTAGTTGGCCGGCTGTAAGCGGTGTTCGGGTTGAGTTTGACAGCTCCACACCGAGGGAGAGGCCTGCCGATGCGGAGCTTGAAGAGGCTTCAACAACAGCCACAGCCGCCGGCGTAGTGACACCGTCTGTAGTAGTAGCAGAGTGTTTTTATAGCAATTGATCGAACGGAGCGTTGGGTTTTTCTTACGTGTATAAGTAAATGAACCTAAAAATAATTTCAAAGGAATGCAAAGACGTCTTAAATTCGAACTTTAATGTTATCACAAGCTTAAATGGGTAAACAAAAAGCGGCCCTCGGGAAATAAAAAGTCACGGTGTAGGGACGGATGCCCTTTA